ACAGATGTAGTCGCCTGTTAGAAGGTTCTCGACGGAATTGCTATTTCTTGAATTCTGTGATTGTTGCTTGATTTGTCTTTTCACGTGAATTACTGACAACGTTTAGAGCAGCAAAAAACGAAGATGATAGGGCAATTGACAAGGCGGATATGCGCAGTCCAGCTAGCAGCGCTTCTCCTGTCAATGTAGATTGTGATTTCGAATCCAGTGCAGGATGTGGAAACGGGTCGTCAGTTGAAGATGTGTTTCCCCTTGGTGCTGCTGACTGAATGTCTTCGCTGTGTTTCTCTCCGTCCTCTCTCTCGGAGGGCGCACCTTACGCGAGTGTTTGAAGGGCGAGCTTGATGGCCCATAAATGTAAATGCGAGCCATTGTCGATGTGGCCTAACCAATCGATCTTCATCTGATTTCATACAACCTCCATTTTGTTTTTCGCTTCCTTTACTACTCGCACTTCCCTCTTTTATACCATTGGTTACTGTTAAGTTCTGCTAGGGACAGAGATCACACTAAGTGATTCTACTCGCCTCGAATAAGAAGCGGATTAGTTGCAGCGCAGCAGTTCCTTCCGCTGAGGAGCTCCGAGCATGAAGCTGCTCCTTGTTCTCGCCTGTGCGTTACTGCACTACCATGCGGAACAAATTGTTCCTTATAACTGGCTGTGAGTTCCACATTTCTCCCTCTGCCTTAATATCTGTTTCAAGATTTGTTTAGGTCGTTAGCTCTTCTCAGTTCGTCTGAATACAATCCACGACCATATCATCATGGAGATCGAGCTCAGTACGAGATGCTTTGCAACAGACTACTAGGACTAAACCCTGTGCAGAAAGCAGTTTGCGTACAGGTAATGGCCATTACAAATCAGAAGAAGGGGAAGTATTTCCAGTTTACCGAGTTTTTCTTCCACGATGGAAGATCGTAAATCTTTCCGCGTCTCCGGAAGTGCCTTACTTGCTTCCTATTGATTTCACGATTCAGAAAAGTTTTGTTCATTCTTTCTCATTTGCTGAACAAAGCGAACAGAG